TACATTATCTTCAAAATTATGACTTTTGTAAGCACTCTTCTTTTTTTTACTTTAACCAAATCAATTTTCTAACGTACTTAACGCTGTTTTAGCGGTTTTATCAAAATATCAGTTTGGTCTGTCCTGTATACTCTTTGTCTAAGTGGTTTTTGTTAATTTCTCTACTTTCAGCAATGCTATTTCCATATCTACGGCAATAGTTACACCATTTTTTGATTGATGGTTTGCCTTTAAAATTTGAAATTTTTCCTGTAGATATTTAAAATTTGAGTGAATTTTTCAACTAGTTCAGTGTCAGAGTCATGAATGATATTTTTTGTGAAGTAGTTGTATGGATGTTGTTTACGTATTGTAATTTTGAGTTTTCTGTTTCTTCCAGTCTCATAGTGATTTCAGCTTGTTCTAGTTGATCTACAACTTTTCTGAAGTCTATATCGGGTTCTCGAATTGAAAATGGATGCGATGCTCTCTTTTTATCGCTTTTTTCCGTAATTGTGGTGCAGTAGATATAACCAATAGGTCATAACTCAAATTGTTTTAAACCCCCAGGATATATCATCTTCTCAAAAACACCAGTTTGCATTCTTTTTTGGGAAAATAGAATACAATGAAATTTTCAAAAAATATTTTCTTGATTTGCTACCAGAATTGCTTATTTTGCTACCAGATTTTGCGTATAGTTATTTAAACAGGTAAAAGCATAGCATTTATTCTAGTTATATCGAAAATTATTGAAAACAATAACTTTTTGTTTTCCAGTAAAAAATATTAAGAAATCATTGTTCAAATCGGGAAACCAAAAATTGAATTGAGTTTTTCTTGTAAGTTTTTGTTTTAAAACTGTTAAAAACTACAAATTTTTGAGGTAGATTACGTTTTTAGGAGATGAAAACAGTCTTTGTTACAAGTTTCGGTGTCAAAGTGTCATTTTGATGATAAAACATTTTCTTCAAAATTATGACTTTTGTAAGCACTCTTCTTTTTTTTTACTTTAACCAAATCAATTTTCTAACGTACTTAACGCTGTTTAAGCGGTTTTATCAAAATATCAGTTTGGTTGTCTGATGTTTTGTTTTAGAAGTTTGGTATAAAGTTAGTTTTTCTTGTGAATCAAAATGATTTTGATCATGGTTGAAAAATTTTTTGTGGAACAGTATTGAAGTTCAAAAAACCGTTTGAAGCACCTTAGGTGCAATTCACGCGCTAGGTGCAATTCATGATTTTCTCAATTTGTCCGGTTGTATATAAACAAGTTCTGTATATTACTGCCGCTAGTTAAGCCACTAAAAAGTATTTCGGATTAAACTTTTGATATTCAAAATTTTTCCTCGAGCTAAGGCTTGTTAATATTGATAATACAAGGTTTTCAAGCTCATTAGCCAAGAGCAGATTGTAAAACTCATGCCAAACTCAGAGAAGAAAGTTTTGGTGAAAATTATAACACAATGTTAAGCCTGAGAGAACGTGATTAGACCGATGCTCCGTTTTCAAACGTCTCTGAAACCGTCTCTGATTTATAAAAATAGCTCGACAATGAAATGTGCTTAAGACGTATTTTAGATGGAAGCCAAAAATATTATATCTCAAAATTCAATAAAAAATTCAAATGTTTTTCTCTTGCTGTTGCTTAAAATGTTTTGTCGTTTTTTAGTTTTGTGGAGTTTGGGTCTCGTTTCATCCTTTTTGAACTGATTATCCAATAATAGTTTAGGCAGATTGAAAAAACTGATAAAATAAGAAAAGATTTTTAACTTGTTTTTATTTATTGTAAATAAAATACTCACTTCTGTCATCCGTAGCTTAAAAACCACTTCGAACGTATATAATGAAAACCTAACACAATTGCATTCAATAGAAAAAACTGCAGAAGGTTTTGCATTTTTGTTTCATTGCTTCTTTTTTGTTTGTGAAGACTGGTTTATAGCAAAAAAAAGTTTAGATTATCTAAACCTTATTACGTTTACTAATCAAGCTTGTTTCGTTTCCTCTACTGGTGCTTGCTTCCAAAACAAAAGATTGCTTCTATTCCAGGGACAAAAAATAACCTAACAAGGCACTAAAAGATTTCTGCTTTTTAAAATAGTTTGGCCATTTGAGTCATGAATGTGCGGACTTTTCATTTTATATATCGCATTTAAGTTTTATTTAAACTGATTTTTGATTGACTAATTTACTTGATTTTAATTAACTTTGTCCTTAACTGTAGTTTTCAAAAAAATAAAATTACACTGAGACGTACAAAAGATTTGCATCGCATGATATACATCTTGAGCATCTTAAGCTAGTGAACTAAAAAGAAGCGGAAATCACACAAGCGAATAAAAGATTTTTGACACAAAAGAAAAAACAATTTCACAAAAAAACAGTCAAGAAACAAAAACACCCGGAATCAATATGCTTTTAGGATCATATAGCTAGCGGTCACTAAATAGAAAACACTTAGGTTCACACCAAATGAGCCAATAACGAAAAGAAATTATGGCTATAAAAAATGAGCAATTACAATTTAAAACTTAAAAGTTTTAATTAAGATACTAGCTGTTCAGGTCAGAAAAAAAATCAAGTTTTGAAAGGTCAGCCGACAAAAAAGCAGACAAACGGAAGTCGCATTCACTTTTTCAGGTTAATTCTTTTGGTTCATAAATACTAAAAAAAGACCGACCTGGGACTCGAACCGCAGATTTTAGAGCAAAAGATTCATAGAACAAGAGGGAAGAAACCTGGAAGATTTTTTGGATCAATAACAAAGGAAGTTCAATTTCTGGCAGATTTGTACCAGGGATGTAAAAAAATATGTTTAAATATATTTTTTCAAAAAAAATAAATATATTTATATTTTTGAGGAGAAAAATAAATATAAAAATTAATTTAAATGTTTCATGGCTTGCCCAATATGTATTTAACGCAATAGCCCTCGAAGCAGTCTATCTACTTGCCGTTGAAATTTTCCAATTGCTTGCATACATAATAAGCAGCAATTAAAATGCGGAAGGCACTTACTCCTTTTTCTCATGGGGCTGACTACATATTTTTTCAAGATTGTCAGAAATATTGCAATTAATTTGAACATTTTGAACATTAAAAAATCCATTGCCGTTGTTCTTGGTCTGCTTCCGTTTGAACCCACATTTCTTGCATTCCCATAACGAATCAGGTCCAGTAAGAGGTTTGAAATAATGCAAAGCCACGTCGCGTTTCTTGAGAGGGGCCATAATTATCGAGAAAACGAAGTGCAAAAAAGCCGAAACGAGACGTTCTTGAAGTTATAGTCTCAGTCAATTCTGTTTCATTGATAAAATATAAGTGCTATATTGAGTATGAAATTCGTGATCAGTGCTTTTCAAAACGTAACTTCACCAAATTTCAGCTTTTTTTGATCGATAGAACAGAATTTATGTATGACTATAACTTCAAAATTTTGGGACGAGGTTTTCACAAGTGTAAAACAACTTTATATGCGTGTAGTAGACTCTAGTTTGGCCAAAACAATCGTGGCCTATCAGAAATGAGTTCAAGTTCATTCGCGTGTAATAATAGTCTTTTACAGTCTATTCAAAACGATCGTGGCCAATCAGAATTGAGTTCATCAGTTCATTCGCGTGTAATAATAGTCTATTAGAGTCTATTCAAAACGATCGTGGCCAATCAGAATGCAAGCGACGCACGATTAATCCATTCGAGTTGAGCTAGCTTAACTCGAATGGATTAATCGTGCGTCGCTTGCATTCTGACAATTGAATTGTCAATTAGCCAAGCCAAGCCAAGCTTCAATTATTGGCCGAGTTATGTTGGAAACCTGCTTTGCAATTCAAACAATAATTGTTACGAAAAATATATATATTTTATTTTATGAACTGGAAAATAAATTATTTAAATGTATTTATTGTCAATATATTTAAATACAATATATTTTTTTACATCCCTGATTTGTACCAACATGTTTACGGAAGTTCACGAAAAAGGCTTAAAGAAAAATGTTTATAAAAAAATGCTTACGATTTATTCACAAGTCTAGTTCCTGATTTGATCTCGCAAATAAAAAATCATAGCGCACAAACTATTTTAAAAAATTTATTACACTCCAAGAACTAGGAAATTAATTTTTTTGATTTCTTTTTTTTTTCGACAGAGTGACATCATAATAAAACCAAACAAAATTCAGGAAAATTAAATGACTGCTTTGAGTGAAAAAGATCCCCATTTGAGAGCAACAGTTTAAACATTCTCTCTGCATTGCTATACTATTGATGATTCTACTATCTTTTTTAGTTCTTATGTCTATAATTAGACAAAAAGTTTCCTGCCGGTCCTGTCCGACTTTAAAGAAAGTGAGGAATGTATTCGCTTGGATTGTTTTTTTAGTATTCAGACCATTTTTCAAACGAATTGTTCTCTCATGTACTCGATCCATGGATTCTCGTCTGCCCAACCGAGTTTGCTTAGCACTATATTCAACTACCACGAGTCTAGTTAAAGTGCAATTGCGACAACCAAATTGGTCTTCGAAATTCACTTCTTCGATGAACACTTAAATTGATATTATCAACCGAAATTTTATAGTTTGTAAGCGATTTTTCTTTAGTCAAAAACTATTCGAGAGCAGTTAATGGGGCGTCGGAACATTCAGAATTTGCCCTGACACGAGCACTTTTGTTCAATTTTCTACGCGTTTTGTTCAGTTGGATTCAAGCAATAGTCAAAAATGAGTTTGGCATGAGTTTTACAATCTGCTCTCGGCTAATTTTCATCATTAAGCCCACTTTTGAAATATTTTTTCTTTGAAAACCTAATCACCACTGAAATGTCATTAAAACGATAACACCTTTGGTACCCTGCGAGCGTTCTTTGAGGAACCTAAACCATCGGGAAAAGCCCAAGCTTGCGAACAAAATTTGTGCGCCTGAAATCTCATCCAAAAATCAAACATCTTTTCATCTTTTAGGCTGGGGCCACAAAAATTAACTTGAAATTTTTCACAATCAGAGTTCAAAAAATTTTACCTCCAACAGTGCTTGCAAGGTCGGTGCTGAATTCTCCTTTGATGAAATAGTGGCAGATAGAACTCTTTCCGACCCCTGAGGCGCCCAAAAACACAATTTTGTAACTAGGAGAACTCTGTTCACCATTTGTAGCATTCATAACTTAGTTTTGTTGCCAGTAAGTTATAAATAAGCTTTTGTTGTAAATTATGGTGAGGTTAGTTCCAAAGTTATGAAGCACAGCTTAACTGTGTTCTACCAGATGGGCTATAAGTTGGTTTAGATTGAATCGACATTCAGTCGTATTTGTGTTTATAATGAGCTAACATCTTAATTAAAGAAATACTTCAGCAATTAAACTAAGCCACGGAATAAGTAATAATTCGGGTACCTATTTATTTTCATTGAAATCAAGGTCAATGTATAGATATGTCGACAAATTAAGCTCTAAAAACGCATCTAAGAGGGTTGATTAATTTTAGATTGTCTTTTCTTTCCACCATAATTCCATCAACATCCTTTTTTCGACTCTTGCGATAAGATCGCATTCTCCCGATAAACCGTTTTTTTATTATAAAAAAGAGGAAATTGTGCATATAGTTACAGGGTTTTAAAAAAGGAGCACGTCAAGAAAATGAATTCAACTATACAAAAATTGCACATTTTTTTCGAATGTATGTTACAGCTTTCGTTTTTGATAAAATGGTTCAAATCTCATTTAACACACTTAGCACACTCACACATTTAAGACTCGCAAACTATATGTCATCATCACTTCTGTATTATCAGTGGCTTCGTGGAGTTCGGCAGCAAAACTGTGTTTCGCGGACCCTCGGTCGCTGATGAAGTCGAGGACAAGGGCGGGACAGCATGGCTACTCGGGTCCTTTCCATTGGGATCTCTCGGTTGCGACTTCCATTTGTTGTCCAAGTCTTTTCCGAACAAATCAGTGTCCGACACACAACCTAACGAATCCGTCTCTTCTCCGTCTGAAGTGTTGACACTGTAATTGGTCTTGCCGCTGTGACCTCGCACTTTGAAGTCGCTGCAGTCCATGAGAGTTTCGGGTCGAGAGACATCCCCCCAGGAGGCTTCGGGGTTGCTCGGAGGCGAAGTCGCACTTCGTTCTCCAGATTGGTCCTCGAATTTTTGATACTTCTTAATCCCTGAAAAGAATTATTATTTCTTTTTTGCCGAATATGGGCTTTCACCGATTCGATCACCTGTTATTCACAAATGAACCACCAGAAAAAGTTACTATACTAACTACAAATTAACCTATATATGGTAGGTATCTAAGTAATAAAATAATTCTATCAGTATAGTAATAACAGTATCATTACACAGCGGTTCAGTTTGGTACTTGTTTGTTCACTACTGAAAAATGAGATAGCAGAGGAAATTTATCAAGAGCTAACTCTTTCGTGTGCGCAGTTCGTATGGCTTCGGTGCCAGTTTCTTGTTGAATGCGGCGCGTATCTCCGGCTGGTAGAACAGGATGACCAGACAGAGGGAGACTGAGCCAGAGAGGGTTAGGAGGAGGTGGAGCAAGTGCACCCACCAGTTGCCCACACTCATCATCCACCCACTCACAAACAACACCACAGTCACAACTGCACAAAACAACAGCCCATAATTTTAAGATCATTTATCCACGAGGGATAGGACCAACATACGAGCTGTACAGCTCATCACGGCGAACCGCTGTTGTGCCCCTGCTTAAGAACTACATGCAATTTTTTTTAAATTAAGAAACACTTTCAAGTAAAACATATTTGAGAAACGAAACAGTAAAAAGCACAAGCAAATCTTAAAAATGAAGACGGAAAAGTGACATCAATTGGTGTTCATAGAAATATAGTTTTCGATGAATGCATCAAAAGCATACAGATTTCTTGGAGCGTTTTGCCTATTCCTCAGAAGCTTTGATCTTGATGCGTTTGCGAGTTGCTCATAAGTTTGAAATGCTTAATAAATACTTTTAAATTTGAAGCTTATAAGTTTCAAGTAAGTAATTGAAGTTGCAAAAATGATTTAGTTGAGTTAAGACCTCTTACTGATTGTGGCCAAGAAGTTATTCTGAATGTTCAATTGGAACACACGCCAAACTCCACTCTCTCTTAACTCAGCGAACAACTCCGTCGCAGACCTCATAGTCTGCCAGTACAGTAGCAGAGTGACCCCCACATAGAGGAGGGTGGGGGCTATGAGGAGGGAGAGGAAGGAGAGCGGGCGGTAAGAGGAGGGGAAGCAGGCGTAGCCGTCGCCACTCAGTCCGATGTCCTCCCGGAACATACCGAAGTAGACTGCCACTACTGATCCTGGTAAGATGCAAAGATGGCTAACAACATTATCAACTGAAGCTTTAATTTGGGCATCATCAAGTGTAGAATTGCCAAAAAATTGAGAAGTGCAATCGAAATCATTCAGGAGAACATCTAGGAATAATAGAATGAACCCCAGCATCAAGTTTGACCCCCTTGCCATTAAGGAGTCTACTTTTTGCCCTGAGTAGATGAATAAATTTATGTTAACATACCAGATCCGGCCCCAAAAATACCGAGAGTTTGAGCCTGGAAAGTCTGGACATGAGTCGCGAAAGTCTGGAAATTTGAGTCCAGACTTTTACGATCCACGGCGCGACTCATATCCAGACTCAAAGTATTTCGTAAAGTATTAGTGCGGCGAGACTTTCAAAGCATGGACATGAGTCTGGCACCTGAACCCAGGTGGCGGTTCTTTGACGTTATCCTAGTTGGTTACTGGTTTTAGTAGTTTATAGGAGACCTGGTAGGGCGATGGTGTTGAATATGTATGCTATTGGGAATGAGTCGGCCCTCTCCCACAATCTGGGCTCATACTCGTTGAGCAGGTTCAGGGATATGTTGAGGAGGCTACCCTGGGATGCCAAGTAAGAGAACAGCATCATCATGCTAGCCAGCCGACACTGCACATGGTCACTGCTCACAATCTGATAACCAAGAAGACAAGTTATGGTGCAACCTTTGAGTGATCTCTCTAACTAACCTGACAACTTTGAAATTAAAATCAATCCGAACGATGGCCTCAAGTTGTAATTAATTTTTGACATTATAAATAATAAATGAACATGTATAGCATGAGTGTTACCTTGTCAGCGCCTGAGAGGTATGAGCAGAGGAAGAGATTGTAGAAGAAGAGAAGTAGCATGTGATGACTGTGCTCCTCCTCGTCTATGACGTCATGCACGAAGAGCAGCAGCAGGAATGTGGCCACCACTGCCACACTCCCGATTGTCATCCCAATCATTGACACCCAGAAAAAGTCCTCCTGAACACAAGATGGAAAATTTCAAATAATTGAAAACGCAACACATCTCAGCATTGCAGTTTACGTTGCCAAATGTTTCCCAAGGGTCCCCATGGTACTATTTTTGGTTTCTTTAACTTGGTTTCTTGCGCCTGCCTCATTTTTCCAAAGGCGATTTTGGCGGCAATGCACACTGATTTTGAGGAGGGAGTGCCCGCCATAAACGCAATTTTTGTCTAAAATTTGTGAAATACTCAAAACGATTTTTATATCCAAAACTTTATTGACCATGATCATTCTCAAGTTTTAGCAGAGCTCAAAAATTTAAAATGAGTTACCTTAAAAAATTCGACCCACCTTTTCCTTCTGTGCACTGCACTGGTCTGAGTTTACAATGCTGGTGTGCATGATGCAAAATGCATGAAATTTTTCCACCGCGGACGCCTGCTTTTAATTTTTGTACTTCTCCGACTTGTCCTAGTTATGTTGCGAAAAGGTGAGAGAAACAAAATCGAAATTACGCGTTGAGGTTTGCTGTTAATGTGTCGACCGAGGTGGTCGGAAACAATGTCAACTGTTTGCTTTAAATCCGAAGTCGAACAGGTTCAGAGTGCGAAACACGAGCTTGACACAAAATTGAGCTTATGTGAACAAAATGAGTTAGTGTTACCCGTTGCATGTCGTCAGTCTTTGCCTGGTCCACCACAGCGACCACTGCAAAGGAAGTAGTATGTGTGGAACTGCACACACCTCTAGACTCCCCCATCTCCACCCCCCTCATCCCCTCCCTTTCGTAAGTGTCATTCTCCCACACATAGTAGGCACACACATACTCCATGTCCACCTCGTAGTTGCCTAAAAAGCTAAACTTTACTACAAAAATATTGTAATGAAATGCACGCGCACATTTACATTTTGAATGGGTCACAAAATGCAAATTTCAACAAATTTATCCGATTCCGGTGCAAGTAGCGCAGGAGGGGCCGACCACAGAAGTAATTTAAAAACAAGTATCATTTTGTTCAAAATTCGTGCAGAAGACGAACGCTGTTAATAGGTAATTCTATATTTTTATTATTAAGACAGTGGTTTTAATCCTTTCGAGAATCTTCAGTTGATTGGTTCATTTTGAAACTTGAATAATTGATTGTTCTTGAACTTCAAAGTTTTTAATTTTCTTTTGAGTTTGTCCCAGTTTTGATTGGTTCCAATTTTTGAGCCTAAACGCTGACTGAGTTAAGGTTTGGTTGTCGAACTTGTTGACGTCGGCTGTGGCTGTGTCATATAAGTGTTGGCTTAGTTGAAGAATGTCGGCTATGCTAATTTCGGTTGTACACTAAATCTCGTTTATGATGGTTGATGGTTGCTGATGTTGCAGCTAGTGATGATGCTGCGGCTGCTTGACCAAATTTTGCTGAATGGTTCTCCGACAATCGCTGGGTATTATTTTCCAAATTTTGTTAGTTGTTTTATTCAAATCCGTCTAGCAAAAATTAGTTTCCTAACGCTTCAAGAATCCTGAAATCCAAAACTTTTCTGCACCTTATCGTATGTCTGCCCTGTTGTTCTGATATACATTTGCTCCTAGCGTTTTGTTCTTTGTGTTTTTGACGGTGATATTAGCCCCTTTTAGAGTTTGAATTTATATTGAATTTTGATGATGTTATCTGGTACTTAAAGTACTGACTTTTCGTACAAAAATTCATATAATAGCTAATTAATTGCTTCACGCTTTCTACTCGCTCAAAACAAGACAGTAACATCAAATTGAACAATTGACACTGTTTTTTTCCGATACAAACAATTGTTTTTATTGAATAACGGCTTCAATAATTTTATATGTATCCTTCAATCTGTTTAGAAGAATACTTGTGGTGCCTGAATTTGCGTAGAAGTTACAAAAAAAAATTCTCAAAAAAGCCTTTGTTTCTTGGTAACTTAACCAATTTGTATCAATAAGCAATTATTGCTGTTTCAGGAGAAATAAAAATTTGGAAGCTAATTGATTCATATTTTTTAAAGTGTTCGTCAAGTGATCTATCTTCGTCAAAAATTGTCAATTTGTTTCCGCCTATTACACCAGCGACGCAAAAATAACATAAGAGAAAAATGTTTAATGTGGATTTGACTTCGCTATTGTTTAGGAACGCTCGCCGAGCTTAGTTTTGGTTGTCAGCTCTGTTGATGCCAGTTGTGGCTGTGCCAGATTTTTGTTGGCTAAGTTGATGACTGTGAGCTATGCTAATTTCGATTGTGAACTTCATTTTGTTTTTCATAGTTGCTGGTTGCTGTTGGTTGTTGGCTAGTTTGTTGCTGCTGCTTTTGCTGCCGCTATCAGTTGATGCTGAAATTGCTGAATTATGATTTCACGTAATGTGTCACAGTGCAAAATAGTGTTGATTGGTTCTCCGACAACTGTTGGGTATTGTTTTCTGAATTTCGTTATTTGCATCATTCAGTTCCGTCCGGCAACACTCAGTTTCATTAATCCCGCAGTCCAAGACTTTTATGCGCCCCAGCATATGTATGCCCTTTTGCTCTGATATTTTTTGTTTCTTGCGTTTTGTTCTTTGTGTTTTGACGGTGATATTAGCCCCTTTTAGAGTTTGAACTTACATTAAATTTCGATATTGTTATCTGCTACTTAAAGTACTGACTATTTATACAAAAATTCATATAAGAGCTAATTAATTGCTTCACGCTTTCTTCTCGCTCAAAACAGGACAGTAACATCAGAATGAACAAATGAAACTGTTTGTTCCGATACAGACAATTGTTTTTATTGAATAAAGGCTTCAATAAATTTATATGTATCCTTCATTCTGTTTAGAAGAACGTTTGTGGTGCCTGATATTGCGTAGAAATTACAACAAAATTTCAAGAAAAAGCCTTTGTTTCTTGGTAACTGAACCAACTTTCATCGATAAACGATTATCGCTGTTTCTAGAAGAATAAAAGCTTGCAAGCTAATTGATTAATATTTTTTGAATTGTTTGTCAAGTGATCTATCTTCGTCAAAAATTGTCCATTTGTTTTTGCCTATTAAACCAACGACGCAAAAATAACATAAGAGAAAAATGTTCAGTGTAGATTTGACTTCGCTATAGTTTGGGAACGCTCGCTGAGTTTAGTTTTAGTTGTCAGCTCTGTTGATGCCAGTTGTGGTTGTGCCAGATTTTTGTTGGCTAAGTTGATGACTGTGGGCTATGCTAATTTCGATTGTGAACTTCATCTTGTTTTTCATGGTTGCTGGTTGCTGTTGGTTGTTGGTTAGTTTGTTGCTGCTGCTTTTGCTGCCGCTATTAGTTGATGCAGAAATCGCTGAATTATGGTTTCACGTAATGTGTCACTGTGCAAAAGTGTTGGTTGGTTCTCCGACAACTGTTGGGTATTGTTTTCTGAATTTCGTTAATTGCATTATTCACGTCCGTCCGGTAACACTTAGTTTCATTAACCCTGCAGTCCAAGACTTTAATGCGCCCCAGCATACGTATGCCCTTTTGCTCTGATATTTATTTGTTTCTTGCGTTTTGCTCTTTTTTTGACGGTGAGATTGGCCTTTTTACAAATTTAATTTAAATTGAATTTTGATTTGTTGGTGTCACGTGGATTCCACGGTTAATGCAATTTTTTTAAATTTTTTTCTAATTTTTTTCTCATTTTTTTCTCATAAATATCAGTCTTGGACTTTTATTCTGATATTTATTTGTTTCTTGCGTTTTATTCTTTTTGTTTTTGACCGTGATACTGGCTCTTTTTACAAACTAAATTCAAATTGAATTTTGATCCGTTGGTGTCACGTGGATTCCACGGTTAATGCAGTTTTGGACTTTTATTCTGATAATTTTTTGTTTCTTGCGTTTTGTTCTTTTTGTTTTTGACGGTGATATTGGCCGTTTTTACAAATTAATTCAAATTGAATTTCGATAATTTGGTGTCAATTCACTTGGATTCCACGGTTGATCAAGTTTTTCTTTTTTTTTAGTTTTTTCTCATTTTTGATCTGATTTTTAAATAAATGGGCATATTTTCTCATATCAATAAAAAAGCAGTTTAACTTGACGACACTTGTCACACTTAGCATATGATTTTTTTTTGTGTGTGGGAGTAGAGACAAAATTTATCCAACAAAGGTTTTTACGGGCTTCAGTAAACCACAATTATTGTTCTTATCAATAACAAAAATAAAACTTAAGGTTTTCCAGATATATTTATTTTGAAATTTTTTTTGACATTTTGCTAGGAAAGTTTTAACTGAAACTTAAAATACTGCCTTTTTATGCAAAATTCTATTAATAGCGTATAATATGCTTCACGTTTTCTAATCGCTCAAAAGCAACCAAAAACTTAAGAAAAAGAATCTGGTTCAACACAGAATTTTTTTTTTCGTTTGAAACAGGATTTCAAAAACTTTAATATGCATCACTTGATCTGTTCTGAAGCTTATTTGTGATACCTGATATTGTGTGGAAAAAGTAAAAACCTGAAAAAAAACTTAAGCACAGAAAACAAAGTTTCTCCGCACTTCAGTAATCGGTACAATTTTTTCTCGAAGATTGGCTTTCGTTTCTTGGTAATTTATTCAATTTGTATCACTTTTTTTTGGAGGGATAAAATTTTGCAAACTAATTGAATTAATTCTGTAAAATGTTCAACAAGTGATCTAACTTTGTCAAAAAACGTCACCGTTTGTCTTTGCCCATCCATCATAAGGGGAAAAACATGAGAAAAAAAGAAATATTATGTAGATTTGGCTTCGTCATTGTGGTTCAGAGACTGATTCTAGAAAGCTTCTCACGAATTTTTGAATGCAGCAAAAAGCATAACTCTAATAGGAGCATTGAAGTGAATTGACTGAATCATACTCATGTCTTCTCCTTGGCCATGGTATGCTTCGACATAGTTGAGGGAAAACTGAACAGGAACTGAGATGGACACTCCGTCTGGATCCCGTACAGTGACAGAGACTACATCTGTCATCCTCTTCTGAAACCGGTTTCTGGACTTGAAAACCGGAGAATACTCTTTGCCCATGTTCACAATTTCAGGCTGGTACTCCTTTTCTAAGGCCAGTCTGGGGGCCCCGAAGTCGCTTTCGTACATTCCGAGTACCACTGAGGTGCCAGCTGGCAAAGTATCGAGGGTGTCTTTTTTGATTTTAACCTCTAAAACATTGATTATAATAAGCTTAGGAAAGACAGTTAACAGCCGACTTAAAACTGAATTTTCGACTCTAATCGGAAATGAGCTTGTCACGACTTTTGGCTTAAATATAATATTCTCATTTCATTTTACAATTCAAGCCTGCCTCGATACCTACAAAAAATTCAACAGAACAAGCTTCACCACCATCTGAACGGAGATCATGGAAGAAAATTAATTGAGTCATTCATATAAAACTGTCAAACTAAGGTACCTTGTAGAGTTCCAGAAGTCACCCCGTTGAAGTCCAGTCTTCTGCACTCCAAGTCAGCCGTGTCGTTAGAATTACCCTGGATGTTCTGCATCACAAACTTCATGTTTCCCGAAGTATACTCCCTGCTGCTCGATTCGTTCCCACCCCATTGCGCTATGTTGTGGATCAACCCCTGAACGCTTTCCAAGAAAGGCAGTAAATCGTTTTCGTTCTCACGAACGAGTGGGCACATTTGGACTAGCTTTTCGACATAATCAAGAGTTTTGGGCACCACTATAGTCAGAATTTCTTCGTGTTGCTCCAAAAAAGTCAGAACATGTTCCGTGTTGTACTGAAGCCTTAAAAAAAACTATTTTATTAATATTGAATGGTCTTGTTAGTTTTTGTTCTAACCGCTTTCTGATCTGGATTCTGATTCTTTTTTCAACGCAAAGCCGATTTCACTGAAACTGAGTCAATCAATGCAAGAAAGAAGCGAAGCGGAGCTTCGTACAACTTGCAATTCAACAAAAACATTTAAAAAAGAGAAGTCGAAAAAAATTATAAAGTTATGAAAGAACAAGCAAAAATAGGTCTACCAAAAACTTAACAACTTTCGATATGCCTCGATAGAAATTCATTCCAGGAAAAAAATCCCAAAAATTTGAAAATTAAATTAGCAACGGAACAAAACTTACAAAGAGTCAACAAAGTCAACGATCTTTGAGCAGACACAAGTTGATACGAAAAAAATATGATTAAAAAAAATCTTTGAATTTTAATTCCCAACTGGAAATACAAGGAACAACACTTGCACTTGCAACTGCAATGCAAAATGCTTACAGCCTAAGAAAAATTAGTAATGTAGCAACTCAGCCGACAATTTTTGAGCAGACACCAGTTGAGCCGGACAAAAATAATTTTAAGATTTTTTTATCTTTCAAGTTCTGCCCCCGATAGTAGGACGAACAAAACATGCACTTGCAAGGAAAGTGGCTTACAGCTCAAACAAATGCGTGATAAAGGAAATTTAGCTGACAAAACTTGAGCAGACAAAGGCAAGTAAGTCCGATAATTGTATTTTAACCAACATTTTTTTTTGCCAATTGCATACAAACTAAACAAAAAACAAGGTCCAGCCGAGACGCGAAACTCAGACCTTAGAATGCAAAAGCAACGGCGTTACTACTCGGCCAATTGAGGAAAAACTTGAAAAATGTTAAGCATCAATATTACAGAAAAGGTTTGCAAAAAGAACAGAGTGAAGAGAAAAAATTAGCGGAAAAAAATGGTTGCCAATAAAACTTTTGAGCTACAAAGATTTAAAAGTTACGACAAACTCATAAAACCATAAAAATATAAATTACCATCGAAATTACCATCGAAAACTTAAAGTAACATCGAAACACGCAACATATTTTGACTAAGCTGAAATGAAATAATCAAAACCGTTAATCGAAAAAAAACCATCACAAATTTCAGAGCTTTCAATCATTGAAACAACTGTTCAAATCAATAGAAAGTCAAGCCTATGCTTTGAAACTTAGAACCAAAAAACGCACCATATATAACAAACTGCCTTTCAAAAAATAGAAAATGAGCCGACGGAAACTAGGACAAAAACCACTAATGCGAAAAACTATTTATATTTTAAGAAAAAAAAAATAAATCTTTCGAGTTCTATCCCGAAAAATGAAAGTCCGACAATTCAATTTTTTTCGATTTTTCTTTTCAATTGCAACTAAAAAACAAGGTCAGGAAACAAAAAAAACAAGAAGATAGCATGCAAAATTTGATTTCCCCAAAACGACCCAAAACTAGGTTAGAAAGCCAATAAAATATAAGCCGAAATTTTTAAGGCCAAAACAATGTTTCAGCAAAAAAAGTTTCAAAAAAATTAAAACTTACAAATTCAAGGTTAGTAGAATTACAAATTGCAAGAGTAAGTGAAAACATGAAAGTAATTACAATAAAAACTGCATACAGCCAAAACAGTTTGAGATGTGGCAACTAAGCCGACAAAACATAAGCAGACGAATAATGAGCCGACAGTTTCTTTGAAACAGAATATTTCCCGTTTGAAAAAAAAACAGGCCCTGCTCAGATTCGAGCCCAGCACTATTGCTTTCTCAGGCTTATTCGTTACCTCCAGACTAAGTGTGTCGGAGACGCGTAGAAATTTGAATTCAATATGAACCAAGATACCAAGTGATTAAAGTGATTCTGTTAAACAAGTTGTATTCCCGAAAAAAGCCTGCATTCCGATTTGAAAACGCTTGCTAATCGCAAGCGCAATAACCCAAATCCCGATTCGCGCCGGTCAAAACTTGATTTAACCTATTTCAATAAAGTGCAATCAAAAATTGCTATTAAAATATAAAAAGGACCAAGTTAACATCCTCCCTCCCAAAGCCGTTTGGGAGAAGGATGTTAACTTGGCGGTTCAAAATCGAATTCTTCAGCCAATCAGAAGACAGCATTTTTCCTGTAGTTTTCAGCGAAATTATTGGGGTTGATGAGGGTTTCGGGGGTTTCGTCGTCTTAAAGTCCAATCGCTTTTGGTGGGGCTTTGAGACGACCCTACCCTCAAATTCTCCCCTTGAATTTCTGAGAAGTAGATGTTGCTTAAATTCAAACGGTTCAATTTACATGTTTTAACTCTCATTTGTTGTCTTAATGCGTCATGTCGTTCGTCTTAATGGCTTGAAAGAAATGATTGCTATAGTGAAAAGCAAAACCGTTCAAAAGCATTTTTGGCTCAGAAAACGAATCGGCGTTACTAAAAACTGATCGCAATCAGGAGTCAAAATCATAACGACTCACTTCATTCCGTCGAAGGCCTGGAACAATGGCACGTGAATAGAAAGTCTTTCAGTGGTCAACTCGTCTTTCATGTGGTCCATCAGTGTGACCAGTTTGCCAATGAGATCAGTGTACACCACTGGGTTTCCTTGATCGACTTGTTCGGTCAACTCTTTAATCGCTTCATACACTTTATAGTCATTGTAACTTAGTTTTACTATTTTCTGACGTTCGGGCGTAGTTGTTAAGATTTTCTCGTCCAGGCTTGTTGAGCTTTTGCCTGCAATCACCTCGGCCGTGGATGCATTATAGGCAGGCTGTGTCGGTATCTCGTAAGCTTCAGTTGGAGCGACAGTTGCCACACTTACATCTCCGTTAGCAAAAAACTTCATGACTTTTCCCATATTTTGGTCAAAAAGTGGATAACATGAACACTCGAAAGTACCTTTTGGTCGAGCCTCAACCACTCCGCATTTTCTTGCCACACTCGTTACGGGATCGAAGTTAAATTCAACACTATTGTTAGCAAAAGGAACAGTAAAACCATTTTCAAGCTTACAGAAAAGCTTAACTTGCTTGGGATGATCGATGTCAAAAGCGCACATGGAACAGCATAACTCAGGGTTTCTGTATGATCCCTGGGACGAAATTGAGACGTCAGTGGCCGTTCTAATTTCGCTGATTTTGAGGGGAAACTTCAAAGGTCGGTCGGTCGCGTACTCGTTTGTACTTGAATAAAAACAAGGCGTTTGTCTGTCAACACCTATAAGATTTATCTCCACCATGACGACTCCTGCACTGGGGTAAGTAACGGTTGAATCAACAGCTTCTTGTCCGTTCCCGAGATCACACGTTATGTCAACTTCGATAGGAGGTCCGAACAAAACGAGGTATCCGTACAGCTTTGGTGGCATCCAGTCGCATCGCATTTGGTACGTGAAATCTCTCTTGTCAACAGGAAGAGTCTGGAACCCGAAGACGGTCAAACCTTCAGACTCACTTCTTAACGGACTCTGAATCCCTTTGATGTTCTCAAGGCCATTGTAGCAGATTAAAGAATAAATGCCGTTGTGCTCGAACTGCAAAGGTTCAAAGTGGATGGTCGAACAGATTCCCGGATTGTTGCATTGCGGATCTTCCAACCGACTCCATTCGATTCTGATGCCATCTTGTCCTTCTGGGAACTCTCCAAAATCTGTGAAGCGTCTAACCCAGGTGCAGTTTTGAATTGGGTTTCCTTTAGCGCAACATCCTATGCTCACGTTTTGGTTATAACAAGGTTGGTACACGGCAGAATTGTGCAAATTACAATATAGGTTGTTGTAGGTCATTTTTTCTTCGGTCTCCAAATGCATGTGCAATGAAGTAAATGTGAAATCGAACTGCTTACTTGTGACGTCATGAAGTTCTTCTGGAAGGTTCTGAGAGCAACTGAAGCTTTCTATGTTGAAATCTTTGCGGAAATCTACAGTATAATTAAATCCATCGAGGGGCGAAACACCTTCCAGTGTCTGGTTTGCGGAGGAACCATCTGGGTGTGCTACACACAATATGCTCAGATCCACATTCCCATGTGCGATGGGCTGAACATGTTGTTTTAGACCTACGTCGATATTTAGAAACTCATACTCACATTCTGTGTACTTTTGTCGCAAAAGCCAAGCAAAACCGCGTCTGTATCGACATAAAACTGCAAGGGCTTCCATTTCTTCCGGCCCATTTGCGGAAATTTCACCACTTTTACTTTCAAAATAGTAGAAAGAATAGTCAGTTTTACTGTCCGAATCACCCATTAAGAAATAAAAATCGTGTGAGAACTTGCGATCTTCGGATTCTGGCGACATCAGATACGAATTACAAGCTATTGTTTTCATGATATCAGAGTCGTCATAACCTGGATGGAATCCCGTCAGAAACTGCGAATCAAAGGCGCCGGATAAGAAAACATCACGACGGTCGGTCAGTTGACCTCCATCCGCGAGGCAGAAGTCGCTTGGATGGATTCCAGACGAGTAAAAGTCGTCCACAGTTTGGTAGCAAGCTTTGTAGTAGTATCCGAACTGGGTTGCACGCGGATCATCAAGGTAGACAGCTCGGGTGTTGGGTCCACAAGGACCATTCTCGAAAGTGTGAGCCCACCCGGGGTCCTCAGCAACTTCAACTCGAAAATCTAGTCGGTTGTTTGTAGTATGAGTAGCGCATTCTGCATTTGTATTCATCTCTGCGCACTTTGTGGGATCCTTTGACTGAAAAATACAGTAACTGTCTCCTGGAATGATTTCCAGGTAGTATCGTCCCGAGTTCCAGAGCTGGACGGTGTAGATTTGGAAATCTATCACAATACTTCGCTCAATAGTGTTCCAAGTTATTGAGTCAAATGAGTAGTCGTGGTACAAAGAGGACTCGACTAGCGTGTTGTATTCGCATTGTGACAACATAGAAGAACCTATGTCAGCACTTTTTTCGTACTTCATGAACTTCATTGACACTGGGACATAGTCTTTCTTGAACTCATTTCTCTGCGTGAACACATGGTGGTTGATCACGCACTGCATGTGAAAATTGTGCGATATGGGCACGCTCAAGTTGCACGTAGGTGCGCACTCGATGCTGTAAGGGTGTACCAAAGTACAGTTTGCGTAGATGTCACGCCCTTGCAGAAGTGGATTCGATTCCATGTCGTGGTTCAACTGGACTGTATAGAGACCAGTATTTCTTGGTTCAAGGTAGTTGAACCTTTTCGTTCCTATGGCCTTGACGTTCACGTTTCTTGGACTTCCAAGCTGACCACATACAAAGTGTCGACTGGTTTGAATGCCTCGAGGTGAAAAAAATGATGCGTCCGGATCGCCGAATAACTCCAAAAACGAAAAACGAAATGTGTGAACTGGATAACCAATTGTCTCAAAAGCAAATGCAAAGCTCGACCCATAGTCGCTTTGCTTCATATATATGTGATTATCGTCACCGACATCTAATTCATCGGTCACAATCAGTCTCAAGTCTTCTTGAAACCGATCTATTTCAATTTCATCTGAGATTTTGATGGTGCTCTCTGAATTAATACGACGCAAAGCATAGCAGCGGACTTTCACAATTTGAGCTTCTAATATCACTTTTGGCTGGTACATTTTGTTATGTTCCCCATTTTTTATGCAACCAAAACTTATTTCCTCAATAGAATCTCGAATGACCTGGTTCGCTGTGTCATACGACTCACACGTTACGAAACGACTTAACAGACATCCTACAACATCGACAGTAACCGAGAATTCGAGATAGGCAGTTTGGTCGTCATTCGCAGGAATCGAACATCCGGTGTGCTCAACCTCGATTGAGTTTATTTCACCTTCGTACATGAAACACATGATTCCTGAAACCTGTTCGCCGAGATTGCATTGCGAGTTAACGAGACGCCCATCATTGTCGACAAACAAGCATCCCGGATCACCGTCGAGAAAATATAGGATCCGAGTGTCACTTATTGTAGCTGATTGTCGTCGTGGAGCTCCAGCAAAGTTGAGAATAACAGACTGCGCAAAGTTATTCGTCCCGCCAGCTTGAAACATTTCAAGGTACTCATCGGTAACAACGTCTGCACGTCGGGTTTCGCGACATCCCTCCCGAACTTCCTGCTGCTGTTGGAAGACTGGCTTTGAAGTGATGATGGAAAATGGTAAAATGAAGGCGAAGTATTTGAATGAGTCAACATTGACGGAAAAATAGTCAACTTGGCCGTTCGGAAGATTAAAAGTAAACAGCGGCTCACCGTCGTCTAAAAGCTGCAAAAAACAAGTAAAACTTTTGAGACATGATTTGAAAACTCTCAGCAAAAGCTCAATAAAAATGCTATTCTTAGTCTTGGTTTAATTCTTAATCTTAAAAATCCTATTCTTCTAACCATCTCAAAAAAAACATAAAACGGTTGCAAAAGCTATTATTTCATTTCAAAACCCCGTCCTCAAACTCAAGGGTTCAATTAAACTAGCAAGCCCGACTCCATTTATTCTTGAAAACTTGAAAAATTTTGACTTTTTTCCATAGCTTGGATTTTTTTAAAAAAATTTAGATCAATTCATGGAAGTTTTTGAAGCGACGAACTTTGAAAAACTTCAAAGCAGCTTCGATTGCTTCGCAAAAATGTTATTTATTCAAGCAAGATGTTGAATAAATGAAATCTTGAAATTTTTCACGTTATTTTTTAGAACAAACTGATTCGCGCAGTTTCAGTTTTTCTCAGCAAGCTATTCAAGCGATCAAGATTTGAAATAACTAATTTACTTCATGAAGGGAACCAATATGTACAAGATGCATGTTTTTCCTTGAAAGCAACAAAATTTTTAAAAGTTTCAAGTAACTCTGATGAGCAAACTGGTTCGCAAAAATTTGTGAATTTCCTAAGCAAGCACTTCATCCGACAAAATTTCGAAAGATTTCAAGTTATATCAAAGACCACACTGGTTTGCGAAATATGCAAAATTCATTCACAAGCTATTTACCCGATGAAACTAGAATTTGTTTCAAATTATTTATTAAAGCGGTTCGTTTTGCAAGAAAATTATCAGCATTTCAAAACAAGCTGTTCAAGCGATAGAACGCCGAAGTAATTCAAGTTATTTCATTAGGCTTTTCAGCTTAAGAAAAATTTGATTGTTATCTGAAATATCTCAACTATTTCATAAACCGAATGGGTTTGCCAAAAATTCAAGTTTTCTACGCAAGTTTTTCCAGGAATGAAACTTTAAAAAATTCACGCTTTTTTAGGCGAGTTAGTTTGCGAACAACGCAAGTTATTCTAGGCAAGATTTCAAAGAAATGAAATGTTGAAAAACTTCAAGTTATTTCAGAAAGCGAATGAATCCGTTTGTAAAATTTTAGAAATTTCAAAACCAAACTATTTAGGTAATGAAACGGTTAAATGTTTCAAATTATTTCATGGAGCAAATCGGTTTGCAGTAAATTTTCAATTTTTCCTAAATATGAAATATGAAATGTTGGCATATTTCAGAAATATGAAATGTTGGCATATTTCGGGTCATTTTGTGGAACAAATCAGTTTATGAAAAGTCTAAGTTTTTTTATAGAAGCTACCCAAGCAAAGCAACTCGGAAAAATTTCAAGTCAAATCATAGAGCGAATGGGTTTGCAAAAAATTCAAATTTGTCTAGGCAAGCTATTCAAGCAATGAAACTTTGAAATAGTTCAGATTATTTTATTAAGCGAATCGACTTGCAAAAATTCAAGTTTTTCCAAGCAAGCTTTTCAAGCAATAAAACTGTGAAATTTTTCATATTACTCTATAGAGCGATCGGTTTGCGAAAAACTAAAAGCGTCTAAGCAAGGTATTCAAGCAAACAATTTTTGAAAAAGTTCAATGTAATGCAATGTATTTGAAAAAATTCAATTTGTAAAAAATCAATGTATGAGTTTTTGCTTACTTCAAGCGATTCATCTGGCAAAAATTACTGTCGAATCAAGTTCATATTGTCTAAAGAGAAGACGTTTTCTTCTCAAAAAGCTTTTTAGAATGTTCCAGATCTTAGAATGATTGAAAGTTCTATCAAATTCTTGCCTAATCGCTTTTTTAAATTTGAGCTCGACGGTCGGTCATATATTGTCTGATCCAAGCCTTCTTAAACGCCGTCATGTTTTAATTGAAAATTCCGCAGGCAATTTTCGTTGCGCGGAGTTTTAAATAATGAGAAAAAATTTTTGCCATTAAGAAAATAACTCAATTTTGAAAACGAAATGTGCAAATGATTGGTGTAATAATCGATGTTAACGAAGAAACAGATAAACTCGTTTTACAGCTCTTGTTGCCATTGCGAGAAAAATTTTGCTACAAAACAGTTTTTTGACCAAAAGAACAGACAACTGTTGATCCGAAACGTCGGAATGTTAAAGAGTGCAAGAAGCTGTGTATTGATTTGTTTTTAATGTCAGAAAGGCAAAATCAAGTCTTCATTCTTGCACGAGCTTTACCGGTTTTCTGTTTTTTTTTGTAGGAAAGAATTTAAAATAGACGAGTTAGTGAACACATTTCTACATAGTCTGGAAAAATTTTCATCATACTTCGCAGAATAATTAGAACTAGAAGGATTCAGAAATTTCATTTTCAAATTCAACTCTCGGTTAGCAACTGTGCGGAGTAAATCAAGCAGACGTTCGCTTTGCTAGCATGAACGTATTGAATAGTTTATCAGAAGGCATGCAAAAAAAATCGAAAAATTCGTCGACCTTTTTTTGGTAGGTCAACTTGATTTCCTGAGCTTTATCATATCACAAAAGTTACCCATTTTGGTCAAACTTTCTGCACTGCAGGCAAATTTTTGAAAAAGCGTGCCAAAAAAGCGTTTTAGGTACTTTGGAAACTTTTGGCCAAAATATGCGTTTTTCGGCGCGCGCTCCTCAAAGTTATTATATATTGGCGCCGAAGGCACCTTTAGAAAAGTTTAGGGCCAATCGGCCGAAAATGGATATCACAAAATAGTTTAAAGGAGGGCCCTTTGGGTCGGCAGGGGGTCGAACTGCTGAGGAGGGGAAGGGCGGCAACCGCCCCTTGCCCCCCCCCCCACACACACACACACACCCTAAATCCGCTACTGATCAGAAGCGCCAACAATGAACTTTTTTATAACTCTCCACCAACCGCAAGCAATATTGAAAAATTAATTTTTTAACAGAGAGTAAAGTTAACTTTATAAAACCTATTAGTCGTGAAGGAAAAATTTATGTGACCAGAGGCCTGCATAAATGCTGCAGACGCTTGACAGGAAATTTTTGAAAACCAGTTTTTTTTTTTAAAAAAAAAAACCTCTATAGATGACCTGCATCCTAGCATAAATGGTGTCAGCAAATATTCTGGGATTGTATCCGGAAGTTCTGTTGTTATGGGCAGTAAAGTTTATGCAGGTTAGGGTCCTTTTGATTTTTTTTTGCAGCAGCTTATTTTCACAACAAAAATCTGTTGTGTCAAGACGAGACTTTTGAGTTAAAACATCTAAATCATCATAAAGCAGAAAAAACATATGCAATCGAAAAGTAAAATGCACTCGAGCTTTCTTCAGAGCTGGTTAAAACCAAAATATGAGCTCATTTTAGAGCCATTGAATTTGAAGTACATCATATTTACACAGAGGTGAAGCTGTACTTCGCAAACTCAAGCCTGGAAAAGGCAAAAAGAGATCTAAACAGGCAAAACAAAGTTAAACAAGGAAAAGATTAAAAAGTACACCTTGAAACTTTTTTTTGAGATATCTGCTCTTTTTGAGGTATCATGTTCTCTCATCTGCTCCACGACCGCTGGTTGTTTTACCAACACTAGCCACCATTAAAACAGTTACAGTTTCTATCAAATTGTCAATGTTATGCAGCAAAAATTCGACCAAAAAAAACTATTTAAACGTTCCGGATTTGAAAATCCGACCTGTTGGTTGGGAATCTGGGAATCTGTTGGTTGGGAACCACGGTCGCTTTGAAGTAAACTAGTGGCCTGGCCAATGCTGGATCTACTTGTTCAAATATTTTTAATCATATATGGTGCGGAAATCCTTATTCATAGGAAAAAAACGAGTACTGGTTCTTCCAATTGAAGTTTTATCTCAGATTTGGCTGGCTAGATTTCGAAAAAAAAAATTAAAAAAAGATCGCGAAAACGATCAAAAATGGAAAAACTTGGCTTTTCCTAAATCCATAAATTTTTCTCTTCCAAAAAACGTGAATATAATTTTATATTTTATGCAGAGAAGATTTCCACACCCTTATTTTTAGATTCGACCCTTGTTGTCAGATTTAGCCAAACGTTTTCGAGAATAGTGATGAAATTCCTAAAAACATTCAGAAAATACAAAAATAGGACATCACCTAAAGTCAATTTTTTTAAAAACACTCAGTGCATAACCGCTTGCGCAGGTAAGATTCGAATAACTGATTTTTTGCTTCGGCTAAACCCTTAATATCCGATTTGACAGAGCAATTTTTGAGAAAAGTCAAAAATGTTTGAAATTTCACCAAAATGTCAAAAAATGGGCTTGTTTCAGACCATAACTTTTTAAAACAATTTTACGGATTAACCACTTGAGATGGAGAGAAACCCAAAATTTGTTCTTTTGATTTAAGCCTTCATCTCAGATTTAAGCGTTTAGTAATTAAAAAAACTTAAAATTTTAAAAACATAGAACGAAATCCGTAGAACGTGAGATAAACAGCGAAACTAGCGAAGTATGTAGGCACAAGGAAGAGCAGCCGGTTTTTCCATTGGTAACATTTTTTTTGAAAATCGGCACAGTAGTTATTGAGAAAAATTGAAATCTCTGCGAAAAGTTCAAAAATATTCGAGTGCCGAAAAAAAAGAAAAACAACATATCGCTTACACGTTTTAATAATTATTTTTTCAAACAGGACTTGAAACTTAAGACAAGCCGAAAAAAGCAGCAGCATATACCATTAAATTGTTTATGCATAAATAAGCTTAAGCATAATGAAATTGAAAAATACCCAAAAGTGCCACCAAATGAGCACTTTCATTTGCGACTTAGCTTAGAAAAATTCAATTTTTCGTAGTATAACACTACGCTGCGCTTGTGAAAAGAGACATCTTATCCGTTTATTCAGGCAGATAAATCGACGAATATGAGAAATGAGCACTTTGAGCTCATTTCAAAAACATGGAGTTTGAGATTTGTTCGGAAAAATTACACAATTTTTCATGGAAGACCAAAAGAACACTTCCTTGCTCACCAGGAAACGGCGCATAAATAAAAATTTTGTTAATGACAATAGCGATAAACAATAGTTTAAAAAAGCTTTTTTTGTCTTTCCAGAAAGTATTGCCGCTTCTTGGTAAGTAGAAAATGGAAAGTAATTGAGCTCTACTTTAAATAGTAGAAGCCAAAATAGGTTGAAAGTTTTCACATAATACCTTTATTAGATAACCAACTCAAAAATGAAACAAGAATAGCCGCTTTTTGTGTCTTAGAACCAGTAGTCTTAAAAATACAACAAATGCTTTTTTTTTCAAATTTGTGTCGCTTGTTTTTGGCGTGATGTGATAAAAGGAATAGAGGGAAAAACTATTTCATTCAGGACTATGCATATTCGACAAACAAAATCAAAACAAATTGAAAACTATTTTGGGTGAAAAAATGATTAAAAAAACGAAAACAAAGTCAAAATAAACTAATGTTACTCGAATAAACTAATTTTTTATATATTATTTTAGGCTTTTGCATGATTTTAAGCCATTAAAATAAACTGTTACAAACTTGCTCGCTCGCTTCAATTAAGACAAAAAATCAAAAATTTTAAACCGGATTTTCTCGACACTGGGAAAATAGTTTGAAGTTTTTAATGTTGTTCAAATCACGACTTGAAGGGGTTTCAATATGATATATCAATTGACTCAGTCTGAAGTTTATGTTTGATGCCCGATATTTAGTGAAAAAATACACACCATAGGGCCATAGATATTTGTTACTGTTAAGGTTAGTCAGCACAAAAAATTAAAAACCCCATGTTTTGACATAAAAAACCGAACTGATCAATCTGGCGGCAAAATCAGTCAAACAAAAGCACATCAGCTGGAGCCTAAAATTCTGATGCAACATTGAGCTCTGTTCGGTTTATGATTTTAACCACTGGGACACACCACGTTAAGCAAAGTTGGTTCAAGAGCGTGGTATACCAGTTTGATGGTTGTTATAATGAATAATACCTGGAGGTCATATTGGTCATCAATGTACACAAGTCCCGACTGCGGATCGTGCACCTTTACAATATAAATTCCACTGTACTCGTACTGCAAAGACTCCGCCGTGAAAGATACTTCACAGCTGTCGAACTGATCGAGATACTGAATTGAAGAGAAGATCACATGTTGTAAATCAAAGTTAGATGGGGACAGGTTGTCGTAAAGGGGCTCTCTTTGTGTTCCAGATTGAATTTCCACTTCAATTTTCATGCCATTTTCCGAGCAGACAGCCGAGTTGAGAGATCCGCTCACAAGTTGGAGATCTAAACTTGCCTGAAAAACCCAAAAGAACACAATAAACTTAAGCTTCTGCAACTTGAAAAAAAAATATTTTTCTGAAAACATGTGTTTTCTTGTTATGAAGACCCTTCTTCCTAAAAACAGTTTTCTTCTACGTGAGTATTCAAGTTTTTATTTACATATCTGCGTATTTTACCAATAAAACATGCTTAGTGCCCATTGTTTTTTGTTTTCCCAATCTCATGAGTCCATTGGATACCTGGTGTCCAGTGCAAGGGACAGGAGCGAAAGAGTTGGAGAAAGCAGTGTAGTCGTCGACATAGTGTCCAAAAGGCACAAACATCACAGCCAGGGGAGTCCATTTGGAAGTTAGTTCTGGCTCCATTGATGCAAATATTCGCAAATACCTGGCCTTGTACTGGTCACCTCCAACAGAGGGAACGAAGTCACATCCCAAACGCTCTGGCACAGACCAGGACACTCCATCCTGGAAAAATAAACAAAACTATTTTAACAGTGAATGAAGAACCTTTCGCTTACCTAGGCAAATACTCCAGACCAAAATCTGACAGCTAGATGATACGATTTTCAAAAATAGATCAAACAAAAATGAGAGAAAAGCTACCCGTGTAAAAACTTTTGCATAAAATTTTCCATGAAAAGGGGCATAATTAGTCCAATTTTTAGTAGGATTGTTCCCTAGTTACCACAGAAAAGGTGGACTTTATAGTGCCCATTTATGAGCCCATTAATTCATCCCCTTCCATGTCAAAACAGTTTCAAAATTTGAACTCATTCAGTCCATTTTGTACAAAGACAATTAGCTCGAGGGGATCGAAACGACTCCTTAAGTGTACCCAAGACTTCTGTACTACATCTGTTCTACCAATCCTCGGTGATTTTGTTTGTTTTTGTCTAGTTAAACTAAATTTAGAAATTCGTATGAGCTCAATTTGCCTAAAACTGGGCTCAATCAACTCCTTTTGCTAAAAAAAGGGCTCACTCAGTATTTGTTTTAAATTGTGCTCAGTCAGCTCCAGTCTGAAAAACGGGCGACCAAAAATTGGACCAAAAATGCAGCACATTGTCATCATTTAGCTCTTTTTGCCAAAATTGAGCTTATTCAGCATGCTCCATGAAAAAAGAGACCAAAATGATGACTAGTTTCGACCCGGGATGGTGAAACATCTGAAAAAAAACTAAAACGAAGTTTGCTGAAAACTTAATTTATTCAATAATTCATTTGTTAATTTCATCGCCGAAGACTTAGAAAAAAAACAGACAAAAAATTGAAACAAAATTCAATGAGAGATGGATAGTGTTACAAAAAAAAATCACAAAAAAACTCCAAAAAGATCGGAGAAAAACGCCAACCAAAAAAAAAGCTTTGAATGAATGATCACATATTTTCATCAAAAAAACGCAATGAAATTGCGCTGTGTACACTTGCAGCCGTAGGCAAGAACAAATTCTTGTGATAAACTGTTGCAAAAAACTATTTGTTGTGAAAAAGTTTTGCAGGTAACCATTAGGCCAAACTGTTGTGATGAATTTACTAAATAGATATGCTAACGAATCGATGAATCACGTTGAAATTTCTGGCTAGCCCTAGTTTTTTTCAAGGGGTTCTGGAGCTCCTGCTCATGCAAAGAAAAAACCTCTTCTTATAAGAGCAAGATTAAAACGACCAGTGTACTAAAGAAATTAGAACGATTGGAGCTAAGGTAACGAGCCCTGATTTTTTTCCACAGGATGTCCGATTTGCTCAATTCATTAAAAAGTTTTCTCGAGGATTCAATAGCCCACAGTAAGTAAAATAAAATAAAAAGTCATCGAAGAAACAGATGTGATGAAGAAATGAACATGCATGGAACGCTCGGAAATAGAAGTAATTGAGAATATCTCGAAGTATTTCAAGCACGTCAGCTCCATTTTGGAAACTAACTATCGTCATTGAGCGAATAGTTTTTGAAAACTTTTTGTTGAAATAAAACATAAAAACTATCGGAGAGGACACCAGATCCAAAATCGGAAGCTTGGTCAGCGCTAATCAGGAACTGTCGGGATTTTGATAAGAGACCCGAATCCAATTTACCTCAAATCAAAGACAAAGGTAAGATTCGAAACATAGTCTGAAAAGAAAACGAACACATTCAACGAACCACGAAAAACTGTTTCAAAAAAAACAGAATTCACGCAGAATTGAAAAAGAAATGATGGATGTTATAACCATAACCGGAGGGCAGAAACCAAAGCCACAAGATATGTCCAAATTGGCAGACAGAATCGCAATATCACTGGGGAAAACTTATTGACACAAATTGCCAACAACAAAGCTCCAGTAGCAGATATTAGCAATTTTACCTGGAGTGCAAGCCTATTTACATACTACATGACTCCAAATATGACGACAAAAAGATGATCAGAGCTTCTGACCTGAAATCAAGAAATAAAACCGATTCTATCGTGCAGTAAAGTAACTCAGATTGAAGCAAAAAATAGTAAGAACTAGGTTGCTAAATGCTATTTCAATCTATCGGAAGACCGACTTGGTTTCGCAGATAATTTTCAGTTAAGACTTCGATAAATAAATTATTTGGAAGCCTAATGTTTAAAATTTCATCCCCTTCGATGGCAAACCAGTGACCACAACTTGAAATCATTCAGCATATTTTGAACAAAATCCAGTTTCTCGAGCGATTCGAAAAGTACCTAATATATCGGTGCTATCTCTGTTGTAACAATCATCGGTGTTATTGTTTGTTTTCGTCCTACAAACTAAACTTAGAAAATCGATGGAACACAATCTGCTAAAAACTGGGTTCATTCAGCTCTTTTTGTTGAGAATTTTGCTTATGCAGTCTCTTTTTGGAAAATTTAGCTCAGTCAGCCCCGTTCGGACAAATTGGGGACCATAAATGCAGCTAAAAAAGCAAGAAACTTTTTGCTTCTTTTGCGAAAAATTGGGCTTTTTTCATCACACTTCATGAAAAAAAACAAGACAGGTACCAATTTTGACCGTGATGCTGGAATTAGCTGAGAGACAAAAAATTAAAACATGCTGACTGAAAATCAAATCTTTGACGAAAATAACTAACTGGAATTGTTTTAATCAATATTACAAAAAAATGTATGAATAAATATTTTTTTTAGAAAAAAATACAATGCAAACTGTGCTGGTTATGCTTGCAGCAGGAGGCAAAAACTGGCACAATTTTTGCAAGTAACCATTAAACCTAATTGTTATGATAATTTGTTTATTAAAACGAATTGATTGATCAGATTAAAGTTTCTGAATTGACATTTATTTCATTTGAATGGTTTTATAGATGCGGTTCATGCAAAAAAATTAGCATGAGAGATAAGTTAAAAAGATCAAGTCGTTACGAAAAAAAATCAGACTGGTTGGAGCTTAGGTAACGAGCTTTCCTTTGCTTGCCACAGAACGCCGCTATCGCTGATATCGATAAAATGCTTCTTTACAAATTGATGGACAACAGAAAGTAAATTGGAAAAAAAACGGTAATAAAGAAACATATGGCACAAAAAATGAACAAGCATGAAATTCTTGGCAAAAAGAGAAGTTGAAAGAATTTGGAAGCAACTGAGGCACATCACCTCCAAATAGGAAACTCTAACTAGCAACAAAAGCAACTAAATCTTCATAAAAGATATCTTCGAAATAAAACAGTACAGAAAAATCAGCGGGGAGGTCACCAAATCTCAAATCAGATGCTTGGCCAGTACTAAACAGGAACTATAGGCTTTTGCCATTTGATAATAGACTCGCAACCAAATATACATTGAACGAAAAACGCAGTTGTGATTCGGAATACAGTATGGAAAGACATTGAAGATCTTCAACAAAAGAAAAATGTTCTGTTGCAATGAAATCAAAAAGCGAAAATTTGAAACGGAAAAGTGGATTTTGTAACCAAATCATAAGTTCAGAAACCGAGGCTACAAAGACAAAACGTACATTGGCAGACTGAATGGCATATGAACCGAGGAAAACTTGTTGACATTATTTGCCAGCAACCGAGTTTCAATAACAGATATTAGCGAGGTAACCAAGAATTCAGCCTATTCACATGCTACGATGCTGTTTCCGATTCTGAACATAATTATAATGACAAAAGGATTATCCGATCTTCTAGCCCGGACTCATTATAAAAAAAAACAGATTCTAACTGGACGAAAAGTCCATATAATGGCTACTGATGCTTGTAAAAAATCCAGAAAACGACTCAGATTTAAGCAGAATGCAGGCAAAACTAAGTCGGAATTATGGAGTTTTGCCATTTGATGATAGATTCGAATAAAAAATACATCAAATAAAAAAATAGACGTGATTTGATCGACAGAATAAAAACACAACGAAAATCTTCAAGGAATGAAGAGTAATCTGTTTCAATGAAATCAAAATGAAAACAAAAAATTTTGTAAAAAGAAAGAGGGAAATTATAAACATAAGAGAAATTTAAAAACCGCAGCAACAAAGAAATATTTACATCGGCAGAATAAATAGCTAAACTATTTAGAAAAAGTTTTTGACATAATTTGCAAACAACGCAGCGACAGTAACAGATATAAGCGAGGTGATCAAGAATGTTAGCATATTTACAAGCTAATGTAAAGTTCTCGACTCCGAAAACAATGAGAAAAAGATGATCCAATGTTTGGGCCTAAACTCTTCATAGATGTAAAAAAAACCGATTCACCAGTGAACACAGCTTGACCTCATTCAGCATATATTGAACAAAAATCATTTTCTGGAGCGAGACGAAACGACCCAATAAGTACCTAATTCCCTGTGCTACCTCTGTTATAACAATCACCGGTGTTATAGTTACTTAGAAAATCGTTGGAACCCAATCTGCTAAAAAAAAACTGGGTTCATTAAGTTCTTTTTACTGAGAGCTGGGCTTATTCAGTCTCTTTTTGAAAAAAAAATGAGCTCATTCAGCCGCATTCCGACAAATAAGGGACCACATATGGGACTAATAATGCAGCATATTGGCAGTTTTCGTTTCTTTTGCAAAAAACTGTTTTTAAGCACACTTCATGGGAAAAAAAGATGAAGATAAGGACCAAATTTGACTGAGATTCTGAACTTAGCTGAGAGAAAATAAATTAAAAACACGCTAACAGAAAATCAAATCTTTGTTAGTCTTTTGATATTTTCATCGCCAAAAACAAAAATTAACAGACAAAGAAAACACAACAAATTTCAGACAAGGCTAGATACTTTCGCAAAATTGACTAGAGACTTTGATTTGACTGACGAATAATTTTTTAAATCAAAATTACAGAAAAATGGATGAATAATTATTTTTTGTGAAAAGAATACAACGCAAATTGTACTGGTTCTGTTTCCAGCAGGAGGAAAAAACTGTCAAAACTTTTGCAGGTAACCATTAAACCTAAATGTAATGATAATTTATTTTTTAATTCTATTAACGAATTGACCAATCAATTTAAAGATTC